TCAATGTGGCATCTATCTGGAAGAGTAAGAAGTATTAAAAAGGGAAGAGGGTCCTGTCCAGGATTCTCCTGCTTCATGTCAAAAACTGTCACTAAAAATCAGATGTTCTATGTGAAAGCACTGACTGGGACCCTATTCCTCATTATTTTAAAGGGGAAAGTTATGATGTATTACACATAAGCCTTAAGTGCCCTGCCAATTTCCTAAAACATATCTATAATACAGAAAACTCCTTGTGATTATTAAGTAGGAATTTGGGGAGCCAAGTTTTTATCTTATCCTGTTTTCCTTGAATTCATCATTTTGATCAATTCCAGACAGGATGGATGGAACAAATATAGAGCAGAGAAAGAACAACCTTGCAGTTTCTATGACTAACACTTGTTGAACAGAATGAAATTTTTCAGTGTCTCTAAAAACATTTTTTTAACTTTATTGGCTCTTTAAAATTTCCACAGAACATATATTCATTTTATGCCAAACAATATAATACAGGGGTATGTACAGAAAGTATTCATTATCTCCTCTTTGTCAACCTTTAGTACTTCTGGTAACCATGTCTTATACTTTTGTAAACATATAGAAATCTATATAAAGCAATTTTCTCTCTTTTTAAAGTCGCTTTGAAAAAAATAAAAAGCATCACACTATATACATCACTCTGAAACATGTTTTTTTAACCAACGTATCTTAGATATCCTTCACAGGACCCAGCTCTTTTTTTCCTATTTTTTTATAAAATAGGAACATATCCTATGATATGAATGGAGCAGACTGTGCTCTGCTATCCCCGCGATGCACATTGCAGTTGTTTCTAATTTCGTCTTTAGGGTGTTGCTGTAATAAATGTCCTCAAACTGATGCTTCTATTTCTGCCAGGCAGAGTCACGAAAGTACAATTATTAAGGCAAGGGATGTGTGTGTTTTACATTTTCTCAGAATTATGAAGCTACTCCCTACCCCACCTGTGAGAACACCCTTGAGCATTGGGTGTCACTACTTTCCTCAGCATTTGCAGTGTGAGGGTGAAAGTGATATGGCGCCGATATGTTTCCTTTCTTTACTATTAATAGGGTTGAAGAACCGCATATTTTATAGGCCATTTGCATTTCTTTTTCTGTGATTTGCCTATTTTATTTCAAAACCAACCTGGTGCACATAAAGAGCAGTTTATATAGTACAAATGAGTTGGCCCAACCAAATTCTGTTGTGCAAGCATATTAAGATCATACTGCCTTGATGATTTATTCATTGAAGAGTGACTATAAAGAGTTGAGTCACTGGAGTTTTGGGGCAAAATAGATTTAATCAATAATAAACTATTCAAATATTAAACATGGGTCCATAAATTTAATCATTCACAGAAATTAGTAGAGTGTACTCTGAATCAAGGCTCTAATAAAAAAAACACCATTAATATACACATTTTTCAAACTGTGCCTGAGGCTGGAACAGAAACATCATACACTTACTGACTTGAGTGTAGCTTTTTTTTTTTTTTGAGACAGAGTCGCACTTTGTTGCCCAGGCTAGAGTGAGTGCCGTGGCGTCAGCCTAGCTCACAGCAACCTCAAACTCCTGGGCTCAGGCAATCCTTCTGCCTCAGCCTCCCGAGTAGCTGGGACTACAGGCATGTGCCACCCTGCCCGGCTAATTTTTTCTATATATATTAGTTGGCCAATTAATTTCTTTCTATTTATAGTAGAGACAGGGTCCCGCTCTTGCTCAGGCTGGTTTCGAACTCCTGACCTCTAGCAATCCGCCTACCTCGGCCTCCCAGAGAGCTAGGATTACAGGCGTGAGCCACCGCGCCCGGCCTTAGTGTAGCTCTTATGTGATTGTATAACCATGCAGTACCTTTTAATTCACATATTTGATGGAGCTACCAGTTTGCATGGTACATTTGCTTTTGCATTTGTCTGTATTTATTTGCACCCAGTGCTGCAGCACATCTCTTGTCACTGTGCCCCGATGGGATAAATGGCACACACTACATTATGGCTGTTAGGGGCATTAGGATATGCTGCTGATCGAGGAACTTTCACAGAAGTGAAACACTTTTCTAAAGATGTACATGTTTATTTTATGTGGATCCTGAAAAAAGATAAGGTGTGATGAAGGCAGGTCAGAAGATGGCACTGCTATATGAGAAGGGAGGAGCCACTGAGCAGCCAGGCTCTCCATGGTGGAAGCTATGCGCACCCTCCCCCACTCCCAAGGGGTGTTCTGCTTCCTCTTAATAGCTGGACAGAAATCCCTTCCAGGGGTCCATTAATGTGACTAAAATCGGCTGACAGCCTGGACTTTGAAAAGACTTCTCTCCCACTGAAAGGTGTGAGCACAAGGTGCAGGCATCTGGCTCGTCCAGTAGAGCCGTCGCTGTCCCTGCCATGCCCAGGCGCATCTCACTGCACCCTTTTCCTGAGACCAAGTGTGCCTGCACTCCGCTGCCTGGGGAAGTGGAGAGACCACCTGGCTTCAGCTCTTACCAGCTGTGAGACCTTGGTCCTCTCCAACCTCACCTTGGTTGCTTCGTCTATACAGTAAGGGGATAATAATGGTACCTGTTTTGTAGGGCAGCTATGAGGATTAAAGTATAAGTAAAATGCTTAGCATCACTCCAGGTGCACCCTTAGTAAATGGCAGCTCCTGTTCCTTCAGCCTCTCCTACTCCTCTGCACCCTGCCCCGGCAGCAGCCAGCCACGCGGGCTTAAACACCGCCCTTCCAGAGCACACAGGGCAGCCACCTCTGGGCTACCTCCTGGCGTCAGGCCCTTCACAGCCATTCCTCTGAAGACCTGTCTGCAGTCCTGGCTTCAATTCCGTTAACTCTGCCTTCTAGTTCCATCTTGGGCCTGCCCCGCAGAACGTGTGGTTCACTCTCATCTCTGCAACCTGTCTGCAGTGTTGGTCACAGCTGAGCCCTTCCTTCTCAGGTCCTGTGTCTTCAAATGCTCTGCTTGGGTGCCTCCTGTTGTCTGCAGTTCTTCCTCCTCCTAGGCCTGCCACCTGCCGCCTGCGCACTATGTTCCCAGGGACTCTGGCCCTCTCCTCTCCCCACTTAGCACTCCCTTCCTCAGAGTTCTCATCCATTCTCAGCACCTTCCCTGCCAACTGACACCCCTGAGTGAATACCTTCAGCCCAGACCTGTCCCAGAACTTCCAACTTGGATATTCAAGGACCTATTAATATCTCTGCTTGGTTGTGCCTCAGACATTTAAAATCCACACCCCCAAGCTGAGCTCTTAGTAAATCCTTCACAAATCTTTCCATCTTTCATCTGAGTAAATGTTACATCCAGCACTGAGGGGGTGTGGGCACCATGGCAGTTCTTTGCCAGGTGCAAGAGGTGGGTAGATGGGAGAAGAGGCCCTGCTAGGGGTCCCAGACAGTTAAAGCTCAGGGTGCAAATGTGAAGCCAGAAGAAGGCTCTGAGGTGGGTGTGCCCCACCCTCATCTTGCCAGCTCCTCCACAGCCCTCCAGTCCTCAGCTTCCTCAACTACTCCTCTGGTCCCGGGGTTAATCCAGTACAATGTCTGTAGGAGTTACACTGAGTGAGAAGAAAAAGCAAAACTGTTGGCACTCTGGAAGGCCGAGATGGGAGGATCACTCGAGGTCAGGAGTTCAAGACAAGTCTGAGCAAAAGTGAGACCTCGTCTCTACTAAAAATAGAAAGAAATTAATCGGACAACTACAAACATATAGAAAAAATTAGCCAGGGATGGTGGTACATGCCTGTAGTCCCAGCTACTCGGGAGGCCGAGGCAGAAGGATTGCTTGAGCCTAGGAGTTTGAGGTTTCTGTGAGCTAGGCTGATGCCATGGCACTCTAGCCCAGGCAACAGAGCAAGATTCTGTCTCAAAAAAAAAAAAAATATATATATATATATATTGGCAACTGCATCTCCCCACACACACACTCTATCCCTTCCTGCCCCTGGACCCAGTCCTTAGGCCTCACACCAGCTTTGCAGAGAAGTGGCCCAGGAGTTGTGATGAAGGGACAGGCACCAAAGGGGTTGTTGGGTGTTGGGGAGCCTTTGCCACAGCTCAGGTTTTCCTTATTAATAGCAGTAAGCACCTATGGCAGAGCCTTGGAAGCACCCTGCTGTCTGGGATGCACACATAAAGGGCAGGAGCCCCTAGGGGGTGGCTAGAGCTGCCACCACAGTCTCAGAGTTAGACATGTGCCCCCTCATGCTCCCTCTCAGGAGGGGTAGTGGAACCCCAATTCACTGTTTACTGACACACAAGGACCTTCAAATATACTTTTCCTGTAGACACGTACCTGCACAAAAGGCTTGTGTGTTTAGAGTATCAATCTTAAAATCTATGTGCCGATCAACTAGGCCATAACCACTATATATGAAATTGTTAATAAAAATATTTAACTTTCAGACAACAGATTTGCAAATATGGTTTTTGAATATTTACTATGTGCCAAACACTGCTAATCACTGTCCATGTGTTATTGCATTTTATCCTTTCAACAGCACTATGAAGGAGGTAGGCCCATTTTACAGATGAATAAACGGGTTTAGAGGTTAAGTAACTTTCCCAAGGCCATACAATTAGTAGGTGGTGGCTCTGAGACTGAAACCTAGGTCTGATTCTATACTTTAAACCACTATGATGCAATTTCATACATAAGTATTTCTTAAGTTAGGGACTGCATATCCCAAGGCCTGTTTCCATCTTGTTTTTTATCACTCTGATTTTCTTCCATCACTGTATATTTGCTTATCCTTTTTAAAGGCATTTTTTTTTTCCTAAGCATTTCTCTGATTTCTTACGGTGAGTTGAAGTGGAAGCATATTCACATTATTTTCCAAATGAGTACTTGGTAAATATTCACTGATGCTATAAATGTTAACTGCTGCTTGGACCACAATGAGAAGTTATTTCACAAATTGGATTAGCAATTGCATTTTGAACTTTTTAAGTCTTTTCTCAGTAATCCTTTTCTGTTTAAAATTTTGTTTATTTCTTTCTTGAAAGGAAGAAGATTTCTCTCCCCACGTCAGCTATAGTCTGCCTGTGGCTTCGGCACCTTCCCAGCCTTGAAAAGGCAGTGCTGCATCTTTTTGAAAAGCTAATCTCCAGTGAGAGAAATTGTCTGAGAAGGATCGAATGCTTTATAAAAGATTCATCGCTGGTACGTGCTGGGCTTTGATGAAGAGAAAAAATCCTTAAAGGAGATGCTGGGAATCATTTCTTTTAGTCAAAGAATAAAAAGGTGGTGGTGAGAGGAATGTAAACAAAAGAACAATTGAAACTTTTAAAAATAATTTTGTATTTACATTTTATTTTAAAAATGCTAACGTGGGGGGCTTTTCTGCGTGCTTGAGCAGGCAGGGAGAGAGTTGCGATTTACACAATTGGTGTGCCATGTATTCCATATTCACAAGAACAGACATTTGGTGGACACAAACTTTAAAAACAGCATTTTGTATTTCAACATGAAAAGAAAGTTTTTAGAAATGAAGATCTTATGGATGAGAGCAGGAATCAATTAACAAAGAAAAACATTAAAAAGAAAAACTTTCAGCTCTTTACTAGAGGAAAAATAAAACACTCAAGAAAAACAAAGTTAAACCCCAGAAAAGTGGTTAAGGCAACAAAACTAACTAAGACTTCTGTAAGTTTTCTTTTGGTGTGAGGCTGCCTGCCTTAAAACCTCCCTGTGCAACAGCTCTAGGCCACTTGACCCTCAAGACTGTGAAGCCGGGGGCCCAGGGACCATGTGGGCTTCTGTCGCCTGACCTAGTGTCGGGCAGTCCTCAGAGCCTGACTGACTAGTCAGGGTATTTGCCTTCTGTGGGAGGCAGCACTGTGGAATTTCAGCAGATTTTTGTAAAGACAGGGATAGAAACCAATGCATCCTGAAAAAACAATTAAAAAAAGCTATAAGTGTCATGATCCCTCAGGGTCTGTCTTCCAGACACCTCAGGGAACTTTGACCTGTTTTCTCATTAGCTTTTGTAATCTGTGGGGATTTGGCACAGAAGAGTGTCTTCCTGTTGTACAGATGGAGAAAGTGAGTTCAGAGAGCCACGGTGAACAGCCTGGTTTTCAGTTGGTGGCCAAGACACTGGGAAGGAGGGGCGTTCACCTCTCGGCTCATCCGTAGCCGACATTGAGGAAGGCTCTGAGGTTGGCTGTGCTCACTTGTCCTGAGCTCAAACTACCCTCACCTCCCAGACACCTTTGATTTATTTAATTTAGTTGGGATTTCCTGTGTGTGTTCTCTCTTTTTCAGGTTGGAGGCTGTGTAAGGGAATCATAATTGAATCAGTTACTTCTTCCTCCATCTCTCTCCACCAGGACCTTGCCTGGCCTCCCTTGTTTCACAGACTCTCTCTGCCTTGTGTTCTGGGGCCTCCCAAGTGAACGTGCGTGGTGTTGCAGTCACTAATAGCCATGCTGCTGTCACCTGCGCGTTGGGTCGCACAGACTGAACCAAGCTCATCTGAAAGTTTATAATGTTTGATAGAAAAACAAAAGAAAGAAGACAGGTATATTAATACTGAGAGAGCCAAATAAGGTATTTTTTAAGGATAATTACTACCTGGCCTCGTTCTTCAAAAGAACTGTGTATTAAGGCAAGAAATAGGAATGCACCTTATTTAAAAATAATTACAATACAATTAAAAATAAAAACTTCAGAAGCCCTCTGGCAGCCAATGCCAGGTGATTAAAGATAATAAATTACCTTTATGGTCTGGTAAAACTTTATTTCTAACTTAAATATGCATGCGATAATTTAAGTTCATTTTCTCTGGTCATTTTTCAGTCACAGAGTATAGTAACTGGGCTATTTGCTTGCTCCCAGGGTGCTTATAAAATTCAAGTCTTCTACCTATTGAAAAATTCCAGTCCTGCAACCTTTCCTTGATCCTTGTGGTTCTTCTCAGAACCTTCTCCGTGTCCTTTCTGCCCGTGGCCCTCAGGCCCGAGCAGCACCAGTGACAGTGAGCGCAGCGGGTAGGAGAGAGAGAAGCAGCCCTGCCATCAGACACCACCCTGTGTGACACTTAGTCTCCAGTTTGCCATCCACAGTCATCTCCCTCCAGTCACAAAGCTTTGCAGTCAGTTGATTTACAAAAGCTTTTATCAGGATCATGTGTGTAGAGATTCCACGTTTCCATTATGGTTAAAGGGGGATTCTAGAGGGTGTTGTTTGGTTTAATTTATTGTGGCATTGGCAGGATGTGACCTCTCTGGCTCATGGTTCAAGGAGGTAATTACGATACAGACAATGAGCTGGGAGCCCTGATTGGTGTGGGCTGTTCTCCTCCAGCATCCTGGGCCTGCGGTGCCAGAAAGCAAAGGAGCCTGGAGTAAGCCTGTGACATGGCCAAGTGATTACAGGGTAACCCGAAGAACCTGCTTCCTAATTGCATCATCTGATTCATTTATCGCAGTGCAGTATCTTGGTACAGTGACAGGACTGCACCAAAGTATCAGAGAGATCTCTAGGACTCAGATAGCACAAGACTGCCGTGCTTTGCTCCAGAAGAAACCTGATGCCTATTACATTAGAGTTGGATTCTGAGAGTAATTAAAGTGTGATGGTCTATATAACTTGTGTTTTATATGTAGCACTGTTAATTATATGTCCATCTCTTGGGACTAGCCAGAATGAGTCCTGGAAATTCTATAGTTACCAAAATGTAACGGAAACAAAAGATAAAAGTGTGGTACAGGTTGTACAAAGTAAAATGACCTCCCCAATGTTCCTGGGACTCACAGGCCTGGTATTTTCTATTAAGACTATGAATAATAAGAGACTAGTCTAATATCACCTGGATTCTAAATACATAGATATGTATTTGACTCCTAAAATAAAAATAAGTTTTCAAAACCTGTTTACTTTTGAGGCTTCCCCTTTGGCTTCCATGGGCTGGACTGCCCTCAGGCACAGGGCTGCCTGCCACAGTTGGTGGCTCCTGAATCAACTGAGGCATTAACCCTTGTTTGTCATTTACTATACAGACTGAAACTTTTCAAAAGCAGATGGTCTTATGTTTCCCTTGACAGCGCAGGCCCTGGAAGACCATAATCCATAGCTTCAGACCTGACCTTAAAAACTGATGTCACCAAAAGCAGTGAAAGCCACTTGCTAATTATGCAGCTTTCTTGGCACCATTCGGTTTCCCAAGGCTGGCCCCGAATCAGAAGGATGTTATGTTTTCCAGTTACAATTCTGTTTGTGGAGCCCAGAAAGCTATTGTTCAGATTCCACATTTGAATGAAAAGTGCTGGTAGGTGGCAGGGTGGCACTGTGCTTGGCTGCTGAGCTGAATGCCAGAGCCGGGAGGTACCCTGGTTCCCATGCCCTCCCATTCACTCCACTGCCAGCTGACCCCACCTGCCACTGCATCCAGAGGAGCTGCCCCCTCACCTTCCCAGGCAGATTTGCCCCAGGAGGAAAGAGGATAGAGGAGGCATGCTGGGAGCACCCAGGAGGGAGGATTTTTTTTTTCACTCAGATTTTAAATCAGAGAATACTACTGTGTTTCTCTCCTACCTAAAAGTCTTAATAGCTCAACTAAAAGTATTATCTAATAAGAGCTTAAGAGCAAAAAGCATCCAAATACCTCAGTGTCCCCCTCCATGTGAGATAGGATGCGTTTTTTTCCTTATTCTCCAGGTAGCAATTGTAGCCACTTCAAAAACAAAAGAAAACCTCCTTTACAGAAAATCCCAATGCGTAATTTCTCCTTAGTAAAATATCATACTGAAGAATTAACTCCACATTCTGGATGATGTCAGTTTTCTGTGCTTGAATAGCTTTTCACGGATATTCAAAGATTTTATTTTCCTGATTTTTCATTAGCAGTCTTTTTAGCACTTCCTTTTTGAGCTTTGTGATGTTCTGTATATAATTTAACAAGAGCTGAGGTGGATAATTTAGCAGTGGTGGAGTAGGAAGGTGTGGTATGTCTGTGGCCAAAAGCTGAAGGGTTTGCATCTTGGACTGTAGTTGCACTTTGCAGTGTTGGCCTCAAGGGGGCACCAGATCCCCCAGCATTGTCACAAACAGGCCCAGATGGCAAGTTCTGTTGTCACTGGTGGGATGCTGGGCCTTGAGATCAGTCAGGGATGAGGAAGAAGAAAAAACCAAAAAACAGAGCAGAAGTGGCCAGGAGGTGGTGAGGGCAGGGACTGTCATTGCCACTCAGAGGCTGAGCTGAGAAGCGGCAGGGGACTGGGGAGCTTTCTTCCTGCTCAGGCCCCACCAGCTAACTGCATAGAGGCTGCTGGGCACAGCTAGGAGGGGACTGCAGACTTGGGGAGTTTTTGTCCTTCATCCAGAGCTGGGCATCCCTGTGCCTTCCCACGTGTGCTTCCCACTTCTGTGTCTGAACACTCAGAACACGTGTACATTTAAAACGCAAAAGTACATTTGGTACTTGTTAAGTTCTTAAGCCCAAGAATGACAGATTTATCACTAATTAAACAATAATTGCATTATGGAGTGCTGAAAAAATTGCTTGTGTATAAACAACATCTGGTAAGGATTGAAAAGAAAGAATAATTTTTCCAAGCTCAAATTTGTTGAAAGAAACCTGAATGTTTTAAAACAAAATAGATTCTAAGTAAAAGGGATAGAGTTTTGTGTTTAGCATTTTGAAAATAGAAAAAAAGAAAATGGCATAATAAAAATACATATTTATAAATGTGCCTCATATTATATGATAGATGTGAAGGTTTTATAGAAGTAGATTTTTTTAAACCAAATCATTTTTAACTCAATAAGGGAGTTTACTGTTGAAATGAATATTATGCATAAATTGGAGGAAAAGCTCCTTGTCAGCTGATTTCTTCAAATGACCATTTCCTGAATAAAATACTTAATGTACATTAAAATAAACTATGAAAGAGAATGATTCCAAGCTTAATGAACCTCACCTTCTTCTCTCTCATTTGCTCTTCTTTATTTTTAAGGAAATAAACAAAGTGATAGAAGAAAAGGACTTGAAAATTTTTTCTGTTCTTTCATTGCCTTTTTATTTTTTTCTAAGAGACATTCACTTTTGTCTGTGAATTATCTCACATCATAATATAATTTACCTTTCTGGTTTTCTCTCACTCTCCCTTTTCTTATACTTACTTTTTCTCTCTCTCACACACACAGAATCAGAAAGTGACAAAAAAAATATATTTCTTCCTGAGAATTATGTTCTTTGTGTTCTCAGACCTCTTTCAAGTGACAAGTGGCTTGTAATAATCACTGATGAAAATAACAGCTTAAGGAAATATTAAGGGCAGAGCTCAAGAATCAATGTTGTTTGCACAGTTCATGGTACAGAGTGACAGGCCTCTGTCCCTTGCCTCTCATTCAACATACAGGAGTAGAGAACATTGTCATGTGTATTTAGTCCATATTGACTTCATCTTCCCTTGTTTTGTTGTGGGGTGGGAGTGGGCTGTTCTCTAGATAGAGAGGAGGCACACGACACAGTTTTGGGTAGCTGTAGGATAGACTGTGAGGCAAGCTCCTCGTGGGCTGAAGGGGGTGCACACCCAACAGGACAGTCTGGTCCATGAGAGAAGGAAGGCAAAGGCCCAGAGCCCTCCATCATCATCTTCTAGTCATCCTCTGACATTTAGTGGAAAGTCTGGGGGAGGGAAGAAGGACAGAAACTCATGTTATTGATGCCCTCCTGGTGACAGAGTTTCCCTAGACTTGAAATGATCCGTGTATGAAAATTATTAGGCCAGATGGAGAAGAGAAGAGCTTGAGAAGGAACAGATTTTGGTAGGATGGAGAAAAACAAACAGATGGAACCCAAGAAAGCTTTTCTTTCCTATCCTCGTTTTTATAGGGAAGATAATTGCCCAGATCGCGGGGCCTCAGAGCCAGGCTCCAGAGCCCTGGGTTGCAGAGTGACCTGTGGTGTGTTACTGGAGCATCTCATGCTTCAAATAAAACAGGACACAGAGGGGATAGATGTTTGCCCCATCGCTCATGAGGGTGCTGTAAAGACTTAGGGGAAGAAAGGCTTCCAAAGAAGTGTGTATCCAAACTTCTATTTGGAAGATCCTCTTGATAAGAAAAGCAGCTTAAGTTTGCTTTTGTGATTTGCTGTCACTGAGACACATGCCTGACCTGTGAGCATTCCAGTCCTCATGAAGAGAATCATTGACCCTGAAATTATGTGCTCAGAATGTATAAAGAGTCTCACTTTAAAAACCACCGGTGAAGGGTACAGATGAGAAATTGCTGTTCGGAGCTCTGGGGTGGCAAGGGAAACTAGTTTTAAATTAAAAATCTCCACCATTGCTGTTTCAGCAGGGTTCCCCTGCCACCTGGCATCTTATCTGTTTCAAAGGCTAAAGTGGGTTGTGGAAGCAGTTTGAAAATAGCCAAGGGTCTGAAATATTTGGAAAGAAAGAAATCTAAGAGAAGAGTCCATCTGCATGGGGAGAACAAGCAGATTCCACACAGCCTGGAGACATTTAAAACATTTGATTGAGCTGTTTTGCTAGAAAACATTGCATAAATGAAAAGTATATCCAAGCTTCCATTCTCTTTTGACAAATTAAGTCAGAACTTTTTTACTTGCTTATTACTCTTGTGGTTTTCATGGTAGCCCTAATCTACATATCAACTCATCATTTTCTTTGCCATTTGGAAATCCCGAAATTTGTATTAACTGACTCTCTACTGGCATCAAACCTATAGAATGGCTTTGAGGTAGACAGACCATTTAGAATGAAAAAGATTTTGATTTTTACCATTTTCAAGTTTGATCCTATTTTCTATCAATGCATTTTTAGGCTCTGTGTCTGTCTGCCTGGGGGCATATAACAGTGTTATTTGGTTTTAAATACTCTTATTCAAGAGGCTAATATAGATAATATTCTATATATGAAACTTTGAAAAATTATTATGGCAAATTTAGATGAATCACATTTCTTTAAGACATGCAGTTTGCTTTTTCCTTGTTTTATTTTTTTCAGTATGAATACATAGAAACTTTTATGATATTTTCTGGGCATATGTTCAGCGACCTTTAAATAACTGTTGTTATTTACATTGAGGCTGAAAAACAAGGAGATTAACTGACTTGCCAAAGATCAAGGCCAAGAAATGACCTGCCACCTCTGTTGAACCGTACTTCTGAAAAATTGCTTTCCTGAGTAGATAATGAATTTATCTATGAGGGTTTCAGATTGGTTTCTTTTAGATAAAAGTGTTCGTCAGTGAAGATTGAAAGAGCATGGATTACTCTATTTAAAGAGTAGAAAATTTTAACATGCAAATCACAAATCTCTCTCCTTCGAATAATTTAAAAGACAATTATCCCATCATTTGAACAAGTGGCTACGTTCTTGCCTGTACCTCCTATGGCAGCCTGTAGTGGTGGCATGTGAACGCTAGATGGCATAGGCTCAATACCACAACTCAAAATGCCTGGGAGTCCTGTGGGGGCCAGGAGGTCTGTGGGGACAAGCACCATGCTTCCCTCAGTATGGCCCAGGAAACTGGAGGGACAGAGCATATTGTTTTTTCTTTCTTTCTTTTTTTTTTTTTTTTGCTTAGAGGGGCTTTGAAAAATGTTTCCCAAAGCTAGTCATGTCAAATGCAGTATGACTCAAAGAAATTCCCTGTAGAGCCTAATCCACTAACATTTGGATGCTACTGTAAAATATCTTTTAGAACACAAGTGGGCATTTTCATCTGGCATCATCTAATGCTTTGAGCTCTGGCCAAAAAGATTTGGAACCTGGGTCAGGCCCACTGAATCCCCCTGCACCAAGCCACAGGAGGCCAGTTTCTGCAGATTTAAATCATCAAACGCTCTCACAAAAGTATTCAAGGAAGAAATTAGGTATCTTCCATCATTCAAGATGATAGTATTTTTTTTCTTCATTAGCCCTCTTCTCATCCTAAACAACTTCAGCTGCTACATTTATAGTGTATTAAGATGCAAAGCCATTTAGTCCATGGTAGTGGTCACTGGTTTCCTCAACAATAATCCTAAATTATTAAATGTGCTTATTACCTAATAAACAGGAATAAAAAGATAGCAGGCGCAGATCTGACTTTGAGGCAGTTCTAGCCATTTGAGGTCAGACACAAGGCACATGTAAGTAAAATTAGCAACACAGGCAGGCTCTGTGCCTTCACTACAGCATGCTGGTAGAAGGCATTTTTAAGTTTTCCATGATACTTCATTGATCCTCTTTTATGGATCATGTGGGCTTATCAAAAATATGGGACATACAGGAGTATAAAGAAAATATAAAGCTTGCTCATAATCCCCTGTCCAAAGAGAACCACTATTTGCACTTGTCTGTGGGGCTTTTCAGTGCACCAGTGTTTCTTTTTTCTAACCCAAAGGAATGTGCTCCTTTTCTAGATACCAGCATTTCTGGTCAACTCATTTGCCTGATAATATTTAATAGCAAGTTGTGATTGATGAAATACCTGTAATATTTCACTTTCTCATGGTCTTTCCTTTTATAGCCTCAAGCAGCCTGCCACCCTGCCATATTTTGGATTGTCGATGAGATGTTCAGGTAAATGTTATATTATTTCTGCTAGTAATCTAAAATTTCTCAGTCTACAAACATGAATAAAAAATTCTGTGGTACTCTTTGGCTGTACCTTAGAGAAATTAGAATTTCTGATTTCTTATCCCTCTGAGCTTTTTGGTAATTAGAGGTAAAAAGTCAGTTTGTATTAAAAGCCAATGCCTAAGAATTAAGATAAGTTTTTCTTTTAACCTTTTAAAATTCTAATAATAATGAGAGAAAAAGCATAATTGAGTTAGACATTAGTATCATGAAATATTCATGTAGGATTTTTCTCAGCTCAGAATAAAAGGTAGCAATATACTCCCTTCACCACATGAGGGCTGACCAATCTTTTTTAAAAGACTTCAAACCTAAGGAAAGCCAAGAAAAATAAATAAATAAAACCATTATTTTATTATTATTATTATTATTATTATTACCTCATATTATAGGGGTACAATTATTGTTAGGGTTACATATCTTGCCCCTGCCCCACTCCCCCACCCTGCTATGCCAGAGCTTCAAGCGTGTCCAGCCTCCAGATGGTGCACCGCCCATACCATGTAAGTAAATACCCTTCCCCTCCTCCCCCTTCCACGTGCCCACCTCCCGATAACAGATTTTTTTTTTTAGACATTTTAGTTACAGTGTATATCTTTGCCTCTCCCTAAAAAGGGATAGAGGTAATCCCTTCCCCTCCACAATGCTTGCCACATCCTCAAGATGTGGGTCTCCCCACCAATCCCTGTTGAACACTACCATTTTTTAGTACCATAGTTTTAGTCTGTCAGTACCAATTTGATGGCGAGTAGATGTGTAGCCCACTTTCCAGATCTTGTGTCGTCTTGCTTTGTATTATGGACTTAAGCTTAATCCAGGATAGCATAAACAGTGCTAGCTCACTGTCGTTTCTTAGGATTGAGTAATATTCCATTGTGAGCATATAGGCACATTTTAGTTATCCACTCATGAATTGACGGGCACTTGGGTAGTTTCCATGACCGTGCAATAGTGAATTGTGCTGCCATAAACATTCGGGTGCAGATGTCTTTATAATAGGGTGATCTACATTCTTTTGGGTAGATGCCCAACAATGCTATTGCTGGGTCGAATGGTATTTCTATTTCTAGCTGTTTGAGGTATCTCCAACTTCTTTTCCACAAAGGTTGCACTAATTTGCAGTCCCACCAGCAGTGTAAGAGTGTTCCTGTCTCTCCACATCCTCATCAGCATTTGTTGTTTTGGGATTTCTTGATACAGGCCATTCTCACTGGGGTTAGGTGGTATCTCATTGTGGTTTGATTTGCATTTCTATGATGATTAGAGATGCTAAACATTTTTTTATATGTTTGCAGGCCATTATTCTGTCTTCATTGGAGAAGTTTCTGTTCATTTCCATCGCCCATTTCTTGATGGGATTGTTTGATTTTTTCTTGTTTATTCTTTTAAGTTCTAGATAGATTCTTGTTATTAGACCTTTATCAGAAGTGTAGAGAGCGAATATTTTCTCCTACTCTGTGGGTTGTCTATTTGCTCTAATGATCGTTTCCTTGGCAGTGCAGAAACTTTTTAATTTGATCAGATCCCATTTGTTTATTTTTGATGTGGCCGTGATTGCCTTGGGGGTCTTCCTCATAAATTCTTTGCCTAGACCAATGTCTAATAGGGTTTTCCCAACATCTTCTTCTAGGATTCTTAAAGTTTTGTGCCTTAGGTCTGTTAGCCATCTTGAGTGAATTTTTGTGAGAGGTGAGAGTTTGGGATCCTGATTCTCTCTTCTGCATGTTGCTAACCAGTTTTCTCAGCACCATTTATTGAAGAGAGAATCTTTTCCCCATAGTATATTTTTGTCTGCTTTATCAAAGATTAGGTTACCATATACAAATGGTTTGATCTCTGGAATCTCAGATCTATTCCAGATATCGATGCTTCTGTTCTTGTGCCAATACCAGGCAGATCTAACTATTATTGCTTTATAGTTCAGCTTGAAGTCAGGAAGACTGATGCCTCCCAGCTTGTTCTTTTTACTTAAGATCGCTTTGGCTATCTGTGGTTTTCTTTGGTTCCATACAAAGTGAAGAATTATTTTTTTTAGACCTGTAAAGAATGCTGGTGGTGTTTTGATGGGGATTGCATTGATTCTGTAGATCACCTTAGGTAATATTGACATTTTAACAATATTGATTCTACCAAGCCATGAACATGGTAGATTTTTCCATCTGTTTAAATCATCTGCAGTTTCTTTTTTAGTGTTTCGTAGTTCTCCTTGTATAAATCTTACGTATCTCTGGTTAAGTATACTCGTAGGTATTTAATTTTCTTTGGGGCTATAGTAAAGGGTATTGCGTTTTTTTATTTGAGTTTCTGCTTGATGGTTCTTGGCATATATGAATGCTTCTGATTTGTGTATATTGATTTTATACCCTGAAACTTTGCTGCATTCATTTATCAAATCTAGGAGTCTCTTGGATGAGTCCATGGGGTTTTCTAGATATAATATCATATCATCGGTGAAGAGTGAGAGTTTGATCTCATCTGCTCTGACTTGGATGCCCTTAATACCCCTCTCTTGCCTGATTGCTATAGCTAAGACTTCGAACACTATGTTGAATAGGAAGGGAGAAAGTGGGCATCCTGTCTAGTTCCCCTCAAAGAGGGAATGATTTCAATTTTTCCCCACTTAGAATAATATTCACAGTTGGCTTGTCATAAATAGATTTGATAAATTTAAGGTATGGGCCGTCTATGCCTATTTTGTTAAGAGTTTTTATCATAAAGGTATGTTGGACTTTGTCAAATGCTTTTTCTGCATCTATTGACAGAATCATATGGTCTTTGTTCTTGATTTTATTTATAAAGTGAATGTCATTAAGATTGGTGGTATGGTTGAACCACCTTGCATCCAGGAATAAATCCACTTGGTCCTGGAATTATTTTTTTGATGTTGCGGCTGAATTTAATGCTAAAATTAGGATTAGGATTGTTTGCATCTATATCATGAGGGAATATTGGTCCTGTAATTTCTTTTTTGTTGCCATCCTCCTGGCTTTGGTATCAAGGTGGTAATTTAGGCTTGTAGAGATGAGTTAGGAACAACATCTTTTCGAACGTGTGGAATAGTTTCTGTAGTACAGTGTGAGTTCATCTTTGTCATGTGCTTGGTAGAATCTGAAGGTAACCACTGACCGGGACTTTTCCATTTGGGGAGGCTTTTTACTGCTTCAATTATCTCTGAGCATGTGATTGGTCTGCTTCAAGAACTCTGATTACCTCCTGGGTGAACTTTAGGGAGGTGTGTATGAGTCCAGGAATTCTATCACATGTTCATCTTCATTCTGTAGTCTTTTCTGGCATATAGATTTCTATAGATCCAAACATAATGTTTTGTATAGTATCTGTGTACTCTCCTTTTTCATTCTTCATTGAAGGTCAGGAGGGTGTTATTAGAAGTCCCTTTTCCTTGAGTTCTTGTCAGCCTAGGCCAGTAAGGCCATCAATTCTGTCGCATCTTTTTGAAAAACCAGTTTCTGGTTTTTTTGATTCCATTAATATCATCCTTGTTCTCGCATTTAATGTTAGTAGCTTTGAACCTTAGATATCCTTTTCTTCGCTACGGATTGGAACTGTTTGCTCTTCTCTTTCCAATCCCTGAGTCTCATTCATAGGTCGTTCGCGTGTCTACTTTTTGTATTTGGATGTGACGATTAGTTGCTTTAATTTTTCCTCTCAGATATCTTTGCTGTACCACACAGGTTTTGTAGATTTGTCCACTGTCCATTTTTGTTCAAAGAAATTCTCTTGAATTTCTCCGTTGACCCATAGTTATTCAACATAGATTGTTATGTTCCATGACTTAGTCATGTGGGTAAATCTTCCTGTAGAACGGAACTCTAATTACCACCAGTTAGGTCCCAGAAGAAGACACATGTATTATTTTTATTTTCTTGATTGCGTTTTGAGATCTGCTGCAGCCTAGTACAATTCAATTTAGGAGAAGACCATGGGGCTGCGGAGAAGAAATGTAAATTCACTATTGGTGAATGTCTCGTATAAAAATGCAGATCTTTTTGTCATAGCTTTGTTTTAGGCCTTATTCTACTTAATTCTGTTGGAGGATATATCTAGTTCATTTATGGAGTTATGAGAACCCTCCTACTATGCAGTATTGTGAAAGTGAACAACTCAGTCGCAAGGTCATTCATGTAATGTCTCCTACATTGAACATCAAATCATGAGGAACGTTAATCTCTTGTCTGCATCCTTCCCTTTCACCATAATCCAAGTGGCTTGTCTTTATCTTTTTTACTTTATAATTTAAACTAATGCTGGCGCAATAATTAATAGCAGCTTTTCCTGCTCTTTGACTTCATTTGCCTGCATCAAATAGTTTCCATCCTTCGACTTCAGCCAGGCAGCATCCTTATGTTTACGATGTGTTTGAGACAGAAACATATCAGGCTTGTGAATTTATCCACTCTGCCAGCCTATGTCCTCTCAGAGGACAGTTAACCATACGCTTATTGAGAGCGCATTGAAATTGAAGGAATATTCCCTATTCCAATTGATCTGGTGAAGTCTGTGCTTGTCCTTAGAACCTTGAGCCATCATCCGAATTCCGAGCTAGAACCTTAATCTCTTGAGGATTTATTTGGAGAGCTGGGTATGCCTTTTACAGCGAAGAGGTCTAAGAAATCACCTGTAGGCTGGTCTAGCTCTGCGCATAATTCCTTCAGCGCTTGCCTTGTCTGAGAATGATTTATTTTTTATTTATTTATTTTTATTTTTTAAAGCCTCACGCACCCGTATCCAGCGGTCTCCCATCCAAGTACTAACCAGGCCCGACCCTGCTTAGCTTCCGAGATCGGACGAGATCGGGCGCGTTCAGGGTGGTGTGGCCGTAGACTGAGAAGGATTTTATTTCACCCTCATGGATGAAACATAATTTTGCTGGATAAAGAATTCTAGGTTGTGCTTTATTCTGTTTTAGAAGATTAAGGATAGGCACCTACTCCCTCCTGGCTTATAAGGTTTCAGATGAGAAGTCTGCGGTTAGTCTGATAGGCTTTCCTTTATAGGTTATTTGTTGTTTTTGCCTTGCGGTACAGAGGATTGCTTCTTTCACATTTACTTTGGTGGGCTTAATAACCACATTGTGTCTCCCAGGAGTTCTGTGAGCTTCTTGAATTTGGATATCCAGATTTCTAGCTAGGCCCGGCATATTTTCCTCCAGTATGTCGTAAAATAAGTTTTCCAAGCCTTGTGATTGTTCCTCTTCCCCTTCTGGAATCCCAATCAATCTGAGATTTAACTTTTTTACATAATCCCATACTTCCTGTAAGCTTTGATCTTGTCTCTTCATTCGGTCCACCCTTTCTTCCTCTGATTTGTTTAGTTTGTAGGTATAATCTTTACGCTCTGAGATTCTTTCTTCAGCATGATCTATCCTGTTTTTGAGGCTTTCCACTGTATTATGGAGTTCCTTGAATGTTTCCTTCATTGCCAGAATTTCTGCTTGGTTTCTCTGAATTACTTATATATCTTTGGAGAATTTTTCATTAATTTCCTGGATTATTCTTGTGGTTTCTCTATGTTGGGATTCTATTTTCTCTTCAATTCCATTTAGCTTTCTAACAATCCATATTCGGAATTCTTCCTCTGTTAGTTTAATCATATCATGTAAGTTGGTGTCAGTTGGTGGAGAATGAATATTTTCTTTTTGAGGTGACTTTTCTCTCTGATCCTTCATGATTCCTGATGTCTTTCACTGGTTCTTCCTCATCCGGATACTTTGTTGAGGACCAGAAGTGCTGGAACTCGATTATGAGCTGTGTTCTTGGGTTCCAAAGGAATGATCCTTGGAAGAGCTGGGGAGTATGTGTTCTGGTCCTGTATCGTCTAAGAGGAGTTTGAGCCTGTTGGGTTATCTTTGGCCTGATGTCTTCACCTTCTGTCCACAGAGTTTAGTGGGTTTGGGTCGCTTGTTTAGACACCTAAGGGATAGTTCACTCTAATGAGATGGAGACCAGTTTCCACCACTAGGTTGAAATCGGAGGCACTGTGTTAAGCACTCTGTTTACTCTTTTTTTGGTCTCTGTGGTTTGTGGGAAGGAGTCAGTTATCAATGTATCCCAACATCTTTGTATTGCGCTCTAAGCCTCCATATACCGGTATCTCAGTGTTAAGTGAATGTCTTGCCACTCCCAAGGATTCCTCGAATCTTCAGGAATAGCAGCCTCCTTCACTACTCCGCCTTACTAAGACAGGCTCTGCTCTCTGGGCACAGATCGCCAACAGCTGAATGCAGCAAGAAACCACTCAGGTTCAAACTTGCAGGACAGCCACGGAACAAAACACCGCTCTCGCCTTTCCACCCTTATAAATTCAGCTTCAAAGCTGCCTGCTGGGTTAGGGCAGGGGGAAGACTGAGATCACTACCAGGGCAGGCCTCTGCAGCATTTCCAAGCTACGAGGTAGCGGTGGCATGCTTTGGTGGCGCTGACACCGCGGGTCCCCTGTTTGGCGGAAGACTGGGTTGGGTTTGGCAGGCTGGCTTCCAACGACCACTGCACTCCCTAAATCCCCCGCTCGCAGAGATCCAGTGGTTTATGTGTGGGGAATTGCCCTCTGTCTACCCAGCGCCAGCCAAAGCTTCAATGGTATCCAAAGGCCAAGCCTCCTATAAGGTAGAGTCCCTACTTCCTGGACCTGGAAGTGTCCTGAGGTGGAATGCCCAAATCGGCACTCGTTTCTGTGGTACAGGGAGGCGACCACTGAGTTCTGTACCTGCAGGTTCAGCTCTTGCGCCTGCTTCAGCAGAGTGCTGGGAGCTCAAAAAGTTGTCTTCTCTAGAAGCCCTATCAGATCAGCCAGTTTGGGGTGGAGTGGATGCCTGAGCCTGCTTCCAGTGCAGCCCTCGGCAGCGTTTCCATGCTAAGGAGCCGTGCGGCGGAGTTGGGAAATGGCTGCTGGGTTCGGACTCTCTCCTACTTGCTACTACTTCAGCGGAGCGCTGGGAGCTCAACAAGTTGCCTTCTCCAGAAGCCCGAACAGTTCAGCCAGTTTAGGGTAGGGGGTGTGCCAGAGAAACGCTTCCAGCACGGCCCCCTGCAGCATCTCCAAGCTACGGGGCAGTGCGGCGGTGCTAGGAAGTGGCTGCAGGGCTTGGACCCTTTCCCCTCCCTCTACTGCTTCAGTGGAGCTCTGGGGGTTCAAAAAGATGCCTTCTCCAGAAGGTCAAACAGTTCGTCTGGTTTAGGGTAGTGGGGATGCCTGAAAAATGCCTCCAGCATGGCCCTCCATGGCTTGTCCAAGCTACCCGGCAGGGTGGCAGGGCTGGGAAGTGGCTGCAGGGTTTGGACTTTTTCGCCACCCACTACCGCTTGAGTGGAGCACTGGGAGCTCAAAAGGCTGCCTTCTCCAGAAGCGCGAACAGTTCAGCTGTCCTAGGGTAGTGGGGATGCCCGAAAAACACCTCCCGCGTGGCTCTCCGCGGTGTCTCCCAGCCACGGGGCGGGCGATGCGGCTGGGAAGCGGCTGCAGGGTTCAAGCCTTTTGCCCACCCACTGCGGCTTCAGTGAGCGCTGGGAGTTTAGAAAACTGCCTTCTCCAGAAGCATGAACAGTTCCGCTGGCCTAGGGTAGTGGGGATGCCTGAAAAACGCCTCCCATGCGGCTCTCTGCCGCATCTCCAAGCCACGGGGCAGGGCGGCGGGCTGGGAAGCGGTTGCAGGGTTCAGACTTTCTCCCCACCCACTACCGCTTCAGCGGAGCACTGGGAGCATGAGAAGCTGCCTTCTCCGGAAGCTTGAACGGTTCACTGGCCTAGGGTAGTGGGGATGCCCGATAAACGCCTCCCGCCTCCCGTGGCTCTCCGCAGTGTCTCCAAACTGTGGGGGGTGGGGAGGCGGGGCTGGGATGTGGCTGCTGGGTTCAGACCCTTCCTGCACTCCCCACTGCTTCAGCAGGGCGCTGCAGAGAGTTCAATATGCTGCCTGCTCCAGACTCCCCTCCAAACTGCTCGTCTGCCCACGTTGTCACCTCCCACCAACTTCAGGCAATTCCCTGCCTGCGTGGGAGTGGGGGTCGGTGGGGAAGGGATCGTCTCCCTGTGTGGGGGGAAGGAATGCCTCCTCCGGCCAGCCCGTGGGGCGGCAGACGTGCGGCCGCGCTCCCTCTCCACTGTATTTCCGACTCCCTGGGTTTTGTGGAAGAATTTCGGTTCACCTTTGATTATTTTCCACGATTTCCGTATCCCAGCGTCTCTTTGCAGTCTTACGAAGCTGATCCAGAATAGGTGCAGATGACTTGCGTGTGGTTGTCTGCTCTCTTCACCTCTCACCCTGAGAGCCGAGAGCCAAGAGGTCAGCCCTATTCCGCCATTTTTCACAATCCAAATAAAGCCATTCTTAACAGAGTTCTTCTGAAAAGCAAAATACACCATGCATGTTATATTAATTTTTATTTTGAAAATATGAATACTTCTGGGGAAATGCATTGGATTTATAGATAACAAGAGATGAGCTCAGTGAATAAGAAGTTGGGTTATGGCTGGCAGATAGCAGGGGTTTTAACCACAGAGCCCTGAGATTGGACCCCACTGGGAGAGCTTGTCACCCCGGCAGTGTTCCTGGCCTCTCTTATGGATGGTGGGCAGCTTGGGTGGTGAGTCTCTCTCAGCAGCAGAGGCTCCAGGGCAGATAGCAGACCTTGGGGAAAGGAATTTTTACAATAACAAATAACCAACCACTTCAGTTGGTCCTGAAGTATACCACCTTTAAGCTAAATGATTACAGAACTAAGATTTCAGACTATATATAGTTTTTAGTTTAAAGCTAGCAAAGTTTGAATTGATTTTTTTTTTTTTTTGCTTAAACAAACATAAAAATTAATTGTATGAAAATGTGTGGAAACCAGGCACATGTGGATTCTTTTGCCACTTTGCTGGGTGGACGTGACTGAGCCATTTTACCCCTTTGGGCAGCTCTGTCTCCACCCGCAAGAGCAAATTGTTGATGTCACATGTCTGGGCATACAATATGAAGATATTTGTAAAGAACATGCAAACCTACATGGAAAGCATTTGCAGTGCTTCCTAATTGTAAGAACCAAGAAAGAGAGCTCTACATATTGCAGTTTTAAAGTATTTAGGAGAGGGAGAAACAGATTAATCATTAAACATGTTGTGATCTGATTTTGCATCGTTCAGGTACGCACTCCTGGAAACGGATGGAGCTCCAGAAGTACTAGCCGCTGTTCAAGTGTTTACACAATGCTTTGTAGAAGCTCTGGAAAAAGAAAACAAGCAGGTTCGTTATATAGCATATATTACTCATTCACCCCAAAGAAAAAGAGGCTGTTAGGAATATTTGGCCAATCACCAGAAAGTATCACTTTATTTTCAGTAATTTTGATGGACTGTTTTTCTCACAGAAGAAGCTTCCAAATGAGTGGCCCTGCAAAGGTAAAACCATTTTAATTGAAAATAAATTGAGATGGTTTCTTTCTGTCCCATGCCCTGGCACCCAGGGCATGTGTCTACTGTTGTGTCTGAGAACTCTGTCATGCCAGCATGTGTTGACCTGCAGGCTGAATTGCCCTGGCCCTATGCTGTGTGCTGTCTGCAGAGCGGGATGCTGCACCTGACCCTCCCAGGCCAGCAGTAGGCACCCTGGAGTTTATATGGCATGTACTGAATAGGAAATGCCACTTATTACAAAGCAATACTAGACATTCTTAATTCTTAGCACCTTCCTTCCTATCAAAGACCCAAAAATTCCAGGGGAGAAAGGAGGTGGTGAGAGTGCCCAGGAGCAGGGATGAGGGAATGGCAGTGACCAGGAAGCATGTGTCACATGTGGTCAGGAACCAGAGGCTGGGCCTGGCCCTGCAGACTTGTGCTCCAGGGCCCTAGCAGCAGAGGCCAGGCAATAGCTGCCAAGGACTGCTGACCAGTTAGAGTGACTGTGTGAAACAGTAACCTTTGCTTCCGGAGAGCTCTCACCTTTGGGCATTTTAATTGGCCTTTATTTTTAATTGCCACAGACTTAACATTTATGTGGCATGTCACCCCTTCAGGGTGGCACTGGTCTGCTGCATCTCCCCGGTAACGTATGTCATGCTGCCTTGTGCGCTCTGCAGTTTGACTGACTAGAGCACGACAGCGATGCTGAGCTCTACTAAAACCCCACACACACATCCCTATGCCAAAGAAACCTCTCAAGTTTTAGCAGATGTTTCAATGATTTAAGGCAACAATAAATATTTATGATTTATTTTTTTCCATCCACATTTTCCCTAGGGAAGTCAACTAGACCATAGCAAACAGTGTTATCAATGGTACCCAGGCTGGAATTTGGGAGGAGAGCTCAGCTAAACGGCATTGGCTGGCCCTTACAAGTGTTTTGAGGCATAACTCTAAGTATCTTTTATCTTCCCTTGTACATTCTTTGTATTCCCAGTTAGGACCTGACCTCTAGCGAGCCTCACCCTTAGACTCCTGGAACATGCCTAGGCGATAGCAGAGGCCACTGGGGAAGTAGTTTTCCTTTTTGGCATTAGCTTGAGTCTGCTTTTCTTCTCAGCTTTGCCCTGTGTCTCTGTGTTAGCCCCGGGCACCACAGATTTGGATTGGAGTTGCATTTGCTTTTAATTGAGGCTGGTACCCTGATTAGGCAACACGTGACAGGAGATGTGGGGACCACAAACTGGGTCCTGGTATGAGGCAGGGCAGGGATCCAAAAAGAAACAGGAATTCATTGCCCTGACCTTCAGCTCAGAATAGGAAAGCAATAACCTCTTAGCTTTGCAGACGCCTTCATACACCTATCAGTTTGTTTCTCCTAGAGCTATTCCCATGCGTCTACCTTTTCAAATGTGAATGTTCTGCCTTCTTGAGTGCCCATTTTTAGCTAAGCATGATCCTTCATGCATGGCTCCTGACATATTTGGTCCATGTATGACCCTCTTTCTGTGTTCCATTCATTTATTCTTAATAAAATGAGTATCTGTGAACCAGCAAGACCTGGACCACTAGTGATAAGAACTTCTGTCTGTCTATGTGCTCCTCCTCTGTCCTGTCTTCCTGCCTTTCTCCCCCTGGATAACCAGTGTCTGAATTTTATGTGTATTATTCCTTTGCTTTTTCTGAAAATAGTTTGATCACATAAATATGACTGCCTAAACCACGTTTTGTTTCATTTTGGTTGGTTTTGCACTTTATTAAACAAAGTAGCATACTGCATGTATCTTTTGAGACTTACTTTTTCCACTCAGCATGTTACAAAGATGCCTTTATGTTGCTGTGTGGAGCTGTGGTGAGGTATTGTTATATTGCAGTCCACTGCGAAATGTACCGCAACGTATCTATTTTCCTGTTGTGGGCATTTGGGTTGTTCCCAGATTTTATTTTCTATTACAAACATGTTGCTCTGGACACTGGGACAGGCACTGAGGAGTGGAAGTGTTTGGTTATCAGATGTGCAAAGGTTCAGCTTTAGTAGACCCTGCCAAGTTGATTTCGAAAGTGGTAGTGCCCACTCACCTCCCCTTAGCAGCTTAGCAGCTTAGGAGAGACTCTCTTTTTACCCTTTCCTCTCACCCCTGCTCTGTTTGGGGAGCACAGTGTAGCTCCATCAGTGTGTCCCATCAGACAGTAGGCAAAAACTTCAGGTTGCTGTGACAAGCTGCTTTTTCTAAGCTTGCATGACGGCTCAGCACTGACAACCAGTCAGGTCAGGTTCTGGTTCCAGCAGTAACAGAGTCTGATAATAGCCTAGACTACATCTCTCACAGATAAAAATAATAAACCTCAGGCAAAACATTTTTAAAAATCTATTTGAAGACATTAGAGAGCACCTAAAAAAGAAAACAGAAAATAGAGGGCCTTTAGCCCTTCAAAGGGAAACAGCACCTGGCAATCTTTGCTGACCCCCCCAGCTCTCCTTTGAGGGTGTCCCAGGGGGCGTGGTCAGGGGCCAGAACTTGGGGCAGGATCTCACACTTGAGGTGTGAGAAGACAGACTGCAGGCTGCCAGAGGAACATGAAAATAGAGGGGGCAAAAGAAAACTGATATCAAAAGATAGACGTAAACCCAAACGTATCAACAAGCACATTAATTACAAAAATTAATGCAAGTTAACTAAATATTCTAGTAAAAGGGCAAAGATGTCAGATTGAATAAAAAACCAAGATCCAACTATATGTTGTTCTCAAGAGACTCCTTCTAACGATAAAGGCACAGATAGATTGCAAGTGAAAGGAAGGAAAGATGTGGTGTGCCAATAGCAAGCACAGGCAAGCTGGTGGTTCTGTGAGCAGCAGATGAAGTAGACTTCAAGGTGAGGAGTGCTACCAGAGGTAAAGAGGGATGTTTCATAATGACAGGATGGTCAGTTCATTAGGAGGAAACTAGCTATAAATGGATATGTGTGTAATAACAGAGTTTCAAAATACACAAAGTAAAAGCTGACAGAAGTAAAGGAAAAAATAGATCCACAGTCATACATAAAATAGTAACACATTTCACAATTATCTATAAGACCTCTAACTGAAAACTACAAAATATTGCTAAGAGAAACTGAAGCAAACTTAAATATGAGGAGAGAGAAACCAGATTCATGAACTGTTAAGATGTCTGTTCTCCCCAAATTGATCTATTGCTTAAATGCAATCCCAGTCAAAATCCAGCTGACTTTAAAAATGGAGATTGACAAGCTGATCCTAAAACTTAAATGGAAATGCAAAGGGCCTAAAATAGCCAGAACAATTTTGAAACACAAAAGCAAAACAAAATTAAAGGAGTCACCCTGCCTGGTTTCAGGACTAAAAGCTGTAGTAATAAGACAGTGAGATATTGGCAAAAGGATAGACACAGATCAGAATTGAGTCCAGATGTAGACCCTACATATGTGGTCAAGTGATTTTTGACAGAGACACCAAGGCAATTCACAGGGCAAAGGGAAGTTTTCAACAAATGGTGCTGGAATAACTGGATGTCCATCTGGGAAAAACAAACCTCAGCCTCTACCGCATAAAGTATACAACAGTTAATTAGACATGAATTGTAGGCTACAACATGAATGTTAGAGCTTTAAACTCCTAGAATAAAGTGTAGGAGGATGTCTTTTTTGATGTCGGAGGATTTCTTAGGAGGAATGCAAAACAAGAAACACTAACCATAAGAGAAAAAAAATGGATAAATTAGACTTGATCAGAATTTAAAACTTCTATTTTTGATAGGCATCATTAACAAAATGAAAAGGCCAGCCACCAGCTGGGAGATACTTGCAATATATAGATATGACAGAGGATTTGTGTCCAGAATTTTTCATATTTCATGACCTCAACTCCATAAGAAACAAACCAATTTTTAAAAATGGACGAAAGAATACAAACTTCAAAAAAGATGTGTAAGTTGGCAGTAAACACATGAAAACTCTTCAACATCATTTGCCATCAGGAAAATGCATAATAAAGCAGGCATGAAAGCAAGCACGCATGAGGTGATGTCACACACCCACTACAATGGCTAAAATCAGTAAGACTGACCATACCAAATGCTGGCAAGTATGTAGAGCAACTAGAGTTCACAGACATTACTTGTGGGTGTGAAATGGTATGACCACTGGAAAACTGTATGGCCTTGTAAAGTTAAATAAGCATCTACTGTACGACCCAGTAATTCCACTCCTGTGGTACTCACCCAGGAGACATGAAAGCATACGTCCACAAAAACACATAGATATAAATGTTAGTTGCAGCTTTATTCATAACAGCCCCAAAGTAAAAACAACCCAAATGTCCATCAATAGGAAAAAGAATAAACAGACCATGGTATATTCATACAGTGACGACTTCTGAGTAATAACTGAAGAATTAACTACTCATACACAATAATACAGATGAATCTTAAAACAAAACAAAACACTGAGCCAAAGAAGCCAGACACAAAAGAATACATATTCTATGATTCTATTTACATGAAATTCAAGGTTAAACAAAACTCTCCTGTCAAAATCAAAATATTGGTTGCCAGGGTGAGGTGGAGGCGTTGATTGTTAAGAGTCACAAGGGAACTTTTTGGGGTGATAGAAATGTTCTGCGTCTTGATTGGGTGGTGGTCATATGGATTTACACATTTACCAAAACTCATCAAATTGTATCCTTTAAGCCCATGGACTTCATGCTTCCTAGATTTTACTTTAATTTTTTAAAAAAGCTTCTGTGCCTTTGGGGGCATGGACAGCTTATGCCATTTGGCCTTCAAAGTATGTGAGCACCATTGTTGTTTTATGCTTTTTGTTCTTAAAAAAAAACTTGCTGAAATACCTAACATCTCATAATGACTTGGGCAGCTCTTACTGAAATAGAAGATTTATGTGTATAATTGAGTTCATGTGAGGTAAAGAAGTCATACAAAGACATCAAGAGCATAACTTTATTTTTCTTAAGTCCCAGAAGGTGACTTTAAAAAGGTTCATTTTTCTGGAAAATATTTACAAGGTTATTGGAAGCATTTTTAAAAAATGTTGAAGAAAACATTCTAACCATGTTAATACTGGTGGGTCTTTTTTGGGCAGAAGGTGCAGGATTTTGTATTTTCCCAATACCCTTTTCAGACCTAATGTTCATGGTTTTTGGAATTTTTTGTCTTATTGTAGCTGAAATTTTCACTCAAGACCTACTTTCCTTATGCTTCTCCATCTCTTGCCATGGTGCTGCTGCAAAACCCTACAGGTAGGTTAAGGTTGATGTTGCCCGTATCAGAATGATTTCTGGAGAAGAACATTGACAGACCAGAACCCTTCCCTCCCAGTCTCTCATCTGTAACGTGAGGGAGGTGGAATTAGTTATTTTTAAGATCCTTTTAAGCTCTCAGTATCCCACATTCTATGGATTTTGATGTAAGACTCTGCTTGGCTTCCCAGTTATGACCACTTACCAAAAGAAGAAAACGGAAAAGAAAGTGGCCTCTGGTTAGGTTTCGATAGTCTGCCGACAGATAGCACAGGCTCTGCTGATGCCAGCCAGGCCCACTGGACACCAGGAACAGGCCGAGACTTGGCTGCTTCAGTATAAAATGCCACATTTATTAGTTTTTCATTCTTTCTACTCCGTGTAGCCTGTGGCAGAAGAAAAGATAAAATAATGGATGAAACCAAGGAAATTTAAGGGAAATTTCTCCTAACCAAGCCAAGGGAGGGATTTTGAAAGAATCAGTGAGATACTCAGACCACGCCTCTCCTCATTTGACTTGCCAGCCTTCCATAGGCCACATTGGTTGAGGAAGCAATGGTTTTAGCCCTCACTCGAGTGGTGTTGATCTGGGAGCTTCCTGTCAGCTCTTGCCTGGGCAGCGTTTCAGAAATAGACAGTGAAGGCATCCTCTCCCTCTGAACCTGAAAGCTGAAGGAAAGGCAACCCTGACACAAGCCCAAACTGTCCCACCCAGAAAGGAGGATGCAGAGGGAGGTAAACAGCTGGTAGTGTCTCCCTTTTATGTCATCATGCCATCTTTGGCCTGCAAAGCTTTGCTGGAGGAATGCAGATGATTCAGAGGTCTAGAGCATTTTACAAAGTCTAAGTTCCTCTTCCTTTTTCTAGAAGATGTAGATTCTTGCCCATCGTAGCCCACCTGACACTGCCCTCTCAGGTGCCAGAGGTGGGGGTGGTGATGGCTTCGGTGGGATCTCTGGCTGATGGTTTCATGAAAACCTGTGGGAACACAATGAGAAAACTTTATTAATAAGACAGAAAAATCAGGAATTCACACTTCTAGGGTACACCTTACAACTTAGGTCAGATAAGCAAGGCCTAAGGTCAGCAACGTGGGAAGCAGAATGAGCTCCAAAAAGTGTACTGGAGTTGTTACTTTTTAAGTTCAGAAACTTATAAACAGAAGTTGAAGGTGGTACACAGCATGAAATCAGCCCTCTATCTTTTAGTTTGTGTAATTTTTCTAGATTTATGCCCAAAAATAAACAAGTGACTTCAAGCAGAAGTACAAGAACTTTGTGTGCTGGTTCCTAGAACAGCTGTCTGCATATTACTTTGAGAAAAAATGAATGCTATATTCATAAATTGAAGAAGTATGTTTTAACAGTATAATCTTCTATTCATCAGAAATTTATTTTATAGCCATTGTAAAATCTGGGAGGGGCATAAAAGATGATCACATATGAGCCCTGACTATCTAGGACCTACTTGTAGAGGGGAAATAAAATAAGCGTCTAAGCAACTAATAAAAAGGAAATGAACAGTGCCTTCAAATGAACAATGCCTTCAGGCTATGAATGAAGGGTTGTGGGAGTTGAGAAGAGGGAGAGGGCTGCCTCTGTGGAGTAGTGGGGGTACCTCCACTCATGTTATCTTCCTCATGGATTCGATTACAGAATCTGTCACTACATGAAAACCTTTTTCAGGTGTTGCTTAGAACTATAGATATATGCATGCTCAGATGTGTTTAAAACCACAGGTAACTGTGAAACCAGAGAAACTAACTCAAGAAAAGGCATTCGTTTGCATCATTCCCATGCATTTTTTTTTCCTGGCCTTTTTTTTTCCCACTGTAAACCTGAAATCATATTCTGCATTCACTATAGCCATAGGAAAACAGTTGGGCAGACCATTGCTAATTCCTTGTTGGCTGTTTTATTATAGTCCCCATGTATTTTGAAATTACAAATTGTTAGTGATGGAGGTAGGGGTGGGTAGGTAGAAAAGAAAAAGGCTGGGGTATCTGCAACGTGGCATTTCTCAATCCCAGGGAGGGCTGCTATGCAGTCTCCACCTGCTGCCATGTCCCCGAGTTAGAGAGTCACTGAGGTTCAGCTTTGCATAAAGCTGACAGATCTCGCTTCCCAAGGCTTAAGAGATAGAGACTGTCTGGGAAAAGCAAGAAAGCAGGGTGTGGGTTCTGTGGGCCAGATAACAAAGGAAAGGGCATTTCCCTAAAACTCCAGGTCTTAGCTGGAGATGGTTCTGAACAGGTTTGACTTTTCTTCAGTTTCCCTCTGGCTTCTCTCTCTCCACCCACAGATATCCCACAGGGACACTGGCACCAGCCACTGAAGCACATTTCTGAACTGCTCAGAAAAATTGTTGAAGACCAGACTTGTGGGTAAGCAAACACTAACCACTCCTAGGTCTGCTGCATGTGTGATTCCCCTTGCTCCTTACCTTCCCTTTGAGCAGGGCTGACAGACCAAACAGGTGAGCACCATCACAGGTGAGAGGTGGAGGAAACTCATGGCTGCACGCGTCGCTTTGAGCAGGTCAGAATAAATAGGCCTGCGTGTGTAAATACCTGTGTAGAAACTCTTCTAAGCAATGTCTGCCCTACACGTTTTGAAATACACAAGCATAACAATAACAGAAGAGACCCTAGAAGAAAGCAGTGCCCACATGCTGGGAACTCTGGCCATGCAGAAGGAAAAGGGTGCTTCTCTGGGTCCTTCCTCCTTCTTTCTAGATCTCTAGGGAAGGAAATTCTAAACTTCTCCTGCATAGGAGGGTGGAATGTTAAATTTTTTTTTTACTTCTCTTTATTTCTCTAAAATTAGAAAATGCATTCTAACATAAACTAATTTCTAACATCATGATATTAGGTACCCTCTTATATGTGTTATTTTCCTGAAAGCATTCACATTTAGGCTTTAAATTCTTTCTAACATAATAGTCTTTGGCTTCCTCTTAACTTCCTTGCTTTTAGAGCATGAATAATATTTCATTCATTGTCTATACTAGCCTACTGAGACTATCTTATTTGTTCCTTTTGTCACTTTTCCCTTTTGAAATTCTCTGTAATCTCATCACTGAGCCAACACAAATTATGGTTGAGGCTCCTATGTCCATGAGCACTGCCTGAAGGTTTGGGTGCCAGATACTCACTGCCCCATTCCCCAAGATTCTTACCAGTAGAGAATAGACAAAAAAGGACTGGTAACCGTATGGGGACTAGAGTTTCAGTTCTATTAACTGTCTGCAGCACCCTGTCAGCCTCACATGTACCCTTTTTGGTTGTCTCTGTTGAAGAAAGAGCAAGACCTAGACCCAAAGCCTCATGGGGCTCCTACCTTAACCTAGACCTTAGGGCCACCTTTAGGGGTGGGTATGCGAGCAGGTTAGGCCCTTTCTCAGTTGACCATGTGAAACTGCACACTCAGTGACTGGTGGGAAAGAGAGAAGGACCAGGCTGATCTCTGACCCTCGATCCAGGCATGCTGCCAGCCTATAAAGTGTCTGCAGGGGAGGGCACTGGTAGAGTCCCTTCCTTGCTTTGAGGCATCCTAACCCAGCCCACCACCAGCATGGCCCCCAAAGCATCAGCTCCGACCCTCTCCTGGGGACAAGGGAGTAAGACGAATACTCCCGCCTTTCCTTCCTTTTCTGTCCATTGTGCAAGCTCGAAGGCAGAACATTTAATCACTTGTTCTCAGGGAGGATTTGGACAGGAGGAAGGCAGTGACCAGGGAGGCGAGCACAGTGCTTAGAGCTCAGGAGTTCCATGGGTCAGGCAGAGGAACATGGAACCAGATCCATCAGAGACAGACCCTGCAGCGGAGCCTGGAATACTCCTGTTCCAGTCACTTCACAGTCCAGAGGGAAAGTTCTGATCTAACCTGATCTCACGCCAGTCCTGCTCCGTTTTTTCCAACAGAGATGTTAAACTGCTGAGACTGTTACTGCACAAAGGGCTCTACCCTTTAACCAAGCATTGCAACTCCCAGTTGCCAGTGCAGCAAGACGATAGCTTCATAAAAGCTTTAACTTTCCAGCATTGATGTGTATGTGGTGACAGGAAAGGATACATGCAACTCATTAAAAATTAATAACCACTGAAACATCCACCGGATCCCTGTGTCTTGTCAGAAAGGAAAGAGCACGTTTCTGCTCGCGTCCCACAGCCACCCTTCCTCATGAAGGACGGAGGCCAACAGCCTTCTCTGGTCTGCATCTGGGCCTGAGGGAGCCGCCCTCGTTTCTTGCTCTGGAGCCACCTGGGTGGCTGCCTTTGGGCTGGGAGGCCCCATTCTCCACAGCAGCCCCGCTGTGCATGCCCTGCAGAAGGGGGGAGGCACATTGCAGGGTTGTCCTGCGTCGTTCCTGTTGGTTATAGGCCACAATCTTCCTTTCTCAGGGCCTGTACTCACTCACAGTACCTGGCTTTAAAAACTTACATGTCCTCAGCCCTCATGGGGTTTCCTTTGAATGTCCCGAGATGGGTTCAGAGTGGCATTCAGACAGACTTCCTGAGTCTAACTTGTGTTCCTCGCTGGTTGTACTTCAGTGGGTAAGTACAATATGAGCCAACTGTTCACAAACATTAAAGTGGCTTTAAGAACCAAAAGGAAAAAGAACTCAGGTTGCCCAGCTGCCATCTGTTTTGGCTCTGTTCCAGGTCCTGTGGAGGCCCCTTTGAGAGTTGGTTTTTGTTCGCTCACTTTGGAGGATGGGCCAATACGGCGATCGAGCAGTTACTGATGTCAGAAGCTGAACCCCCTGCGGCCCTGCTGTGGCTCTTGGCATTCTACTACAGCCCATGTGATGGGAGTCAGCAGAGAGCACAGACCATGGTGGGTGGCAGGCCCCAGTGTGTGCGTTCAAGGGCAGCTCTGGGGTGCTGAGAGGATCCTGCAGGGAGGGGCTCTGTAGTGGGTCTGGCTTCCACTGACGCGCGCCCCCCCCACCCCCCGCACCTAAGCTCTGCAAGCTCATGGTGTAAGTCATGGTAATGTGTAGTTGTCCATTTCGACAGGTGGACTAGGGCTGGGCTTGTGGTCAAAGACATCCTCATGCCTCCAAAGAGTTCACTGGAGGCAAGACATTGCCACCCTGTCCTCCTGGGAAGCACCGAGGGGATGCGGCTCAAGGTCATTTGATCTGTCCTTGCTCTGCTGCCCTTGTTTACAGTTGTGCCTGACCCTCAGGGGCCTGTCCTCCAGGGACGTCTGGCTCTTCAGCCAGCTCCTCTCTCCTGCTCAGCAGCCTGGCCACACCTGCTCCATCTTGACTTACTGCTTTCTTGGATCAGCCAACAGATTCTCACATTACCGGCTTTGTTTAGACTCTTACTAAAGTAATCACATGATATTAACCACTTTGCTTCTGAAAAAGGACTTGGTCATTTCCTAAATAACAGAGCAGCTAAGTGTAGGTAGGATGGAGTAACTGTCTGTGACAAAGACAGTTGTTATTTCATGTGGACTATAATAATTACAGGAAGCAATGCTTTGATTAAAGGCTTTGGCACCTCCCTTGCAAACATTTATTTGCTGGTTTCTAAAACTTCAACTGCCAGTGCTTTTTGCTGATTTAATAATTAGAACAAGTTTCATTATGTATAAAGCAGTGTTCCTATTTGCTTTATATTTTCTGTTGTTGCTTGAACAAAGCAGAGACTAGTACAGATGTTTATGTTTTATTTTTTTAAAGGCTTGCATGACAGGAAAAGAAAAAAATTTTGGATTTTAAAAAGTTGGAATTTGGTGATTATTTTGAATCAAAAACAAAATATTTTTTAGAAATTATCATAATCCACAGAGGTATTTGAGGATTGCTACCTGATTAAAAAGAAAGCCTTCTATTTCTTTTTTCCTTAAAGTATCACATTGAAACTAATTAAGGAGAATCCTAGTTTATGTTTTTTATCATCTTATTTTTAATAATAATTAAGCTGTTTGAAGCAGTCATAATTTCTGTAGCCCGTTTGTATGCATTTTGTATTTGATTCTGTATATGCTAAGTTGGTGAATATATGTTAAATTCCTATCGGTCATGGATACTGACAAAGACTTTTCACTTTTCAAGTGTAGAGAAATACATTGTTCTGTAAGACTTAATTTCTAGAAAGTTCTGCATTGGCGCATCTTTCTACTAGCTAACTTGGTCTTTCTGTTTGTTTAAATAAAACCTATGCATAGTTCTTACTCAGAAGATGCTTAGGCATCTTAGATGAAAACGGATTAACTCATTCAGAGTAGTTTAGTTCCATACATCCATTTCCTTTGTAGCTTCCCTGCTGTGATTGAACCCAGTGCTTCATATTAGAGATTCCAGAGCCCCTTCCTCCTTGGTGCCCGACCTGAGACATGGGTGTATGTGACACCTGGACAGGGAGTTTTCTTGGTTTAAGTAATAATATGTACCTCTTGTTCCTCAGGCTTTTGTGAACTTTAATCACTGGATGGTATCTTGGGTGACTTGAGAAACAAAGTGTGAACTGCGTTAGAAAGCATTATTGTGAGATTTTATCACTCTTGACAGTAGCTGTGCCTTTGCCTTACTTAAAAGGCATAATTAAATCACGATTAATCACTTGGCCCCGGATCATGTGCTGCGGCTGGAATAGTTGCTGCTCCTGCCGCAGCACATGTTCTAAGTGCAAGAACATGGGTGCAAAGAGTGAGCCTGTCCCTGCCCAGGATGTGTCCTGCCTGTGCAAAGGCCTGTCCTGCTCACTGGCAAACCACATTCTCTGCCAGCCGATGTTCATCTCCTTTATTTTGGGACACAGTCTGACTCTGTCACCTGGGCTAGAGTGCAGTGATATCATAGCTCACAGCAGCCTCAAGCTCCTGGGCCCAAGTGATCCTCCTGCCTCAGCCTTCTGAGTAGCCTGGCACTGTAGGTGTGTGCCACCATGCTTGGCTAATTTTTCTAGTTTTTGTAGAGATGGGGTTTTGCTTTTGCTCAGGCAGGTCTCAAACTCCTGGCCTCAAGCAATCCTTCTGCCTTGGCCTCTCAAGGTGCTAGGATTACAGGCGTGAGCTGCCGTGCCCAGCTGTTCATCTCCTTTTGCTCACTGAATTGGATCATGAGTTAAAGAAAAAAAAAGTCTATGTTTATATATTCTTAAGAATCAGGCAAAGATTCATACCCTTTTTAACCTGGTCACTATACTATGGAATTATACCAAGGAAATAATTCTCTAATTATTATCCATACAAAGATTTATGTACAAGAATTCATCACAGCATTGCTTATAATTGCAAAAATTGGAAACTTTCAATAGTAAAACTATTGTCTAAATAAACAATGAGTCTCTTTGGATGATAGAGTTATACAGATCATTATGATTTTTTTTTCTTTTTCTCTTTTCAAATTTTCCATAGTGAACAAATACAGATTTTTATAATGTAAGATTTAAAAAATAATACTTTGAAAAGAAAAGAAAGCTTTTTTCTTTCCCCTGAAAAACTCAGAAAGCATTTAAAATTATTGGCATTCAAGTAGAAACTTATGGACATGAAAAGTGTTTGAAAAGAAACAGTCAGGGACAGAATAGAAAGGAAGACCACATCTTGGGGAATATTGGATAAGGGGGAAAATCACCAGTCAAGAAGAAAATGAATATAAAGGCATCGCCTCCTAATAAGCACTGCCATTTTTGCAGATGCATTTAGATGACAAATTGGTCCTGGGCTCCTGTCGATATCATCAGACCAGGCTGGGCCCAGTGCAGAGGGGCGAGGTGGCAAGAGTGCGGCCTGTCCTTTTGGACCCCTGCCATTCTCCGTGGAAGAGCCCCATGGTGCAGTTTCTCACGGTCTCGTATTATGGTCAGAATTGCTCACACAACACGCCTAGTGTACTGGAGTTTATGACAGACTTCATTGAATGAGGCCTTAACTTCCAGGAAGAAAACCGTTTCACACAAAATCCATAAAATCGGTCATGGGAATTCTCAGAACAGACCTAAGTATTCTTTCAAAACTGATGGAACATAGCTGTTCATGAGTTCCATGTGGCATTTTGGATCAGCTGCTTTGTTTTCCAAGTCACAACTTGATGTACTATTTTTGTAGCAAGCAGAAAAGTCTCAGCATGAAATAAACATTTTTTATGCAAAAACAACCCACAGACTTATAACAATTACCATTATTATGTGGATTCCACAGACTTGTGACCTCTGCTTGGGCTTTTAAACATATATGAACAGACTGTTCCAGTATCTAAAACAAAACGTGTGTGTGTGTGTGCGCCCTCCACCCCCAAAGATAGCAAAAGGCAAACCTGCATTCTTATCAGAACACTGGCTCAGCGGAGGTCCCATTGCATGGAGCTTTAATTGATTTGTGGCTGTGATAGTGAGTCTTCAAGGAGCCTTTTGTTCTTTTTCCCACAGTGTAAAAATCTGACTACATTCTGTTGAGGACTTTTCTCCGTTTCCTTTCATACAAAAAAAGGTCAATTCCTGGCATGGTGCCCTGGCTGCTTGGTGAGCAAGAGGAAAGAAAGTCAAGAAATTTCCATTCCGCCCATTTGGGTTTGTGTGGAACAGTGTGTAAGCTTGGCCGCACCGCCTCTTTCTCCCTCTCTCACGGTCCAGTTCTCACCTCTTTCTGGCGGTTGCTTCAGAGCAGATACATCCTAGAAGCAGCATGTGTGTCCTGACTCTTGCCTAGTCCATCATCCGTTGAAACTGTCTTGTCCAGGTGGAGGTGAGGGCAGTGCTCGGCTGCCTGCTGAGGCTGTCCAGAAGGGCCACCCTCTCAGCCAGGGACCTGCTGGCGGCAGCGGGCGAGGGCAGAGACGCGGACGCCGGACCAGGCGCATCAGCCCTCATCAGGCGCCTCCTGCTCACCTTCCTGCTCCGGGTTCCTGGAGGCCGCGCGATTGCCCGGGACGCCGTGGCGCTGGTAAGCCTCTGCGTTTCGAGCATCCTAGTTCTCGTATACACGTCAGGGGAAGGTGAGTCCCCTGGCCTTCGAGGGGGGTGTGTCCTGGATGCTGCCCAGCACGGAGGAACGGTCAGGCAGGTTGACAGCTGGGACGGACCCCAGACCCTGCCCCCTGTGGCACCTTCATGCCGCAGAAGAGGAAATGGAGGCTCAGAGAGAGGAGTCGTCGTCTCCCAGGTCACACGGCCACTGCTGGGGCTCACAGGAAAAGCATGGGTGATGCTTTCAGGTGTGTGCACCACTCTCCTCCCTCAGGGCAGCAGCAAGGCTTTGGTGAGAACGTGCTTCTAACCCTAACCACGGTGCTGCTCGCTGAGCAGTACAAAGAATTGTGTGTGTTAAAATTTTTTAAACTGGTTAATGACAAAGAAGTTCTTCCTGAAGCCCAGCTGACATGAGGGCTAAAGAATGGTCCAAGTCAAAATTGAGCTCCTCTCATGACATTAGATTTGGCAGTGATTTCCTGGGTACGATACTGAAGACACAGGCAATGAAAGAAAAAATAGATAAATTGGACTTTATGAAAATTAAAATTTTCTGTTCTTCAAAGGACACTATCAAGAAAGTGAAAAGACAGTTCACAGCATGGGAGGAAATATTTGGAAATAATGTATCTGATAGGGGTTTAATATCCAGAATATATAAAGAATTCTTATAACTCAACAACAAAAAGATAACCCAATTCAAAAATGGGCAAAAGCCTTGAATAGACATTTCTCCAAAGAAGATGTAAAAATGGTCAATACTCAGTAACATTAGCCATTAGGGAAATACAAACCAAAACTACAATGAGGTTCTCTTCACGCCCATTGGGATGGCTATCGGAAAAAATAAAAAATAAAAGGAAATAAATGTTGTAAGGATGTAGAGAAATTGGAGCACTCACACATTTCCAGTCGGGAATGTAAAATCATGCAGCCACTGTGGAAAAGAGTTTGGTGGTTCCTCAAAAAGTTAAACATAGAATTGCCATATGACACAAATTCTGCTAGGTATATGCCCCCAAGAGAACTGGTAACAGGGATTTAAACAGGTATTTGTACACCAGTGTTCATAACAGCACTGTTCACAATAGCTAAAAGGCGGAAACAACTCAAATATGTCCATCAACAGATGAATGGATAAACAAGATGAGGTGATATATACATCTAATGGAACATTGAAAAGGAAGGTATTTTTGGCACATGTTATAACGTGGATGAACCTTGAAGACATGCTAAGTGAAATAAGCCAGACATAAGGACAAATGTTATGACTCCACTTTTATGAGGTATCTAGAATAGTCAAATTCATAGAGAACGTATTATAAAATAGAGTTTACCGGGGTGGGGGGAAGCAGGATGGGGAGTTAGTGTTTACTAGGTGCAGAGTTTCTATTTAAGATGATGAAAAACTTTGGGAGATAGGTATGTGGTGGTGATGGTTGCACAACTTTGAATTGCGAAAATGGCTAAAATAGCAACAACAACAAAAAAATTTATTTTTGAGACACAGTCTTGCTCTCTTGCCCGGGTTAGAGTGCAATGGTGTCAGCCTCAAAACTCATGGGCTCAAGCCATCCTCCCGCCTCAGCCTCCTGAGTAGCTAGGACTACAGATACACGCCACCAGGCCTGGCTAATTTTTTCTATTTTTAGTCACCTCGCTAATTTTATTCTATTTTTAGTAGAGGTGAAGTCTCGATTTTGCTCAAGCTGGTCTTGAACTCCTGACCTCAAGTGATCCTCCCTCCTCGGCCTCCCAGAGGGCTAGGATTACAGGCGTGAGCCACCATGCCCAACCTAGCAAATTTTATGTTACGTATATTTTACCACAATTTAAAACAATGTCCATTGCAAAAAGAAGTGAGTACCAACATGGTGACTCTGGGAGTTTTGTTTTATTTTTACTTTTTATTGACATATGCACACAGAAAAAATACAATTTGATGACTTTTCACAAACCAAAAATACCCATGCAACCAACAACCAAATCAAGAAAGGAACATTCCCAGCACCCAGAAGCCGTTCCTGTTCCCTTCTAGGGTGGGTTCTGTTTGAATGTGAATATTAGTATGTGGAAAGTCCCAGTGACGAATGACTCAATATGCCAAGAACCTCAGACCAGAGCTTGTCTCAGTCCTGGTAGGCCAGTGTGGAGCAGACCTCAGCTGGGACGGAGCAGCCCGAGAGCCTGAGGGGGCCAGAAGCAGAAGAGGCTGGTGCTGTCTCCTCAGGGTGCAGCCCCAGCACAGTGGGAGAACTTCCAGGGATCTGTTGTGTACTTTTATAAAATGCACATGACGGCCGGGCACGGTGGCTCACGCCTGTAATCCTAGCACTCTGGGAGGCCAAGGTGGGCGGATCGTTTGAGCTCAGGAGTTCGAGACCAGCCTGAGCAAATCGAGACCCTATCTCTACTAAAAATAGAAAGAAATTAACCCTTTGCACTCGCTTGCTTTTTTCTTGATTCCTTTATTCTACTCGGGATTTAATTTTTTAAATACCCCATATTTTACAAAGTGCGGCAGTAGAATAAAAAACTGGAGTTTCTTTTCATACAAACTTATTTGGATTTTTTTATATTTCAAATTATTGACACATTCAAAGAGTAATTTTAATCTCTATAATTTTTGCTAACTGTGTTGAGTCACACTCGACATCCAAGTGCAAAGGGTTAATTGGCCAACTAAAAATATATAGAAAAAATTAGCAGGGCACGGTGGCGCATGCCTGTAGCCCCAGCTACTCGGGAGTCTGAGACAGGAAGATCGCTTGAGCTCAGGAGTTTGAGGTTGCTGTGAGCTAGGCTGACGCCACAGCACTCTAGCCCAACAGAGTGAGACTGTCTCAAGAAAAATAATTAAAAAAAAACAAAAATAAAATGCACACCTGCAACAGCTCAGATGAACCTAGAGGACATGATACTAAGTGAAATCAGCCAGGCACAAAAGCCATTCTGCACGACCTCCCTTATACGTGTGTGGAATCTGAAAAAGCTGAACTCATAGAAACAGAGAGTAGAGAGGGTGGTTACCAGGGCTGGAGGTGGGGGAATGGGGAAATGTTGTCACAAGGTACAATCTTGCAGTTACAAGATGAATGAGTTCTGGAGACCTAATGTACAGCATGCTGACTGTCATTAATAATAATGAATACTTGAAATTTGCTAAGAGAGTAGGTCTCAAGTGTTCTCATCACTAAAAAAGTAACTAGGTGAGAGTGATGGATGTGTTAATTAGCTTGACTGTGGTAATCAGTTCACAATGTATATCAAAACATCATGTTGTACACTTTGGGGAAAGAGGAAACAAATTGCAACATATGACAATAAACACCTGTAAGGGGGAAAATGCACACCTCACTTACTTCCCAGTCCACTGGGGTGGGAGAACCCCGAACTTTGGAGCTAAAATACGTCCTTAAAACTTGGTATTAGCTGACTTTCCCTCTGGCCAAGTATAAGGTGGAGTAGCTGCTTCTCAGCTTCTGCCTCAGCAGTGACCAGAGTCAGCATCGGCAGGGACAAGTCATGCTGACAGTGTGCGCACCCCTGACACATGCGATGGAAATGGCACTTTATCTTGGTGGTCTTCCTCCCCAAAACCTGTAGCCCAGTCTAATCATGAGAAAAACACAGAGGGACATTCAACAAAATACCCAACCAATAGCCGCCAAAACTATAAAGGTCATTGTTTATAGAAAACACTCAAACCATGCTTTTTCTGTGCTCTCACACAATTATAAAGACAGGAAACGACTTCTATGACCAGATAGCAGATATTTCTGTCCTCCACTAAACAAGCAATCAGTTCTGCAGCAGACACCAGCTGGGCGTCCTCCAGTTCAATTCCGACACTGTCTACCTGGAGATGGCCTCAGATCCCATGGGGCGAGACCTCAGTCCCCAAGACTGCCCCCAACCCCACACACCTGTTGCAAGTCCAGGCCGACTGGCTTCAAGTTGGAGTTCCCACCACTTGCTCCCCCCTCAGCCCCACTTTGTATTCAATTAGTTTGTGGGGCAGCTCACAGAACTCAGGGAAACACGTTTACGAGTTTATTATAAAGGATATTACAAAGGATACAGATGAAGAGATGCATAGGAGAGGTATGGAGGAAGGGTAGAGGAGTTTCTATGCCTTCCTGGGGCGCCACCCTCCAGGAACCTATATGCGTTAGACTGTCTGGAACCTCTCTGAACCCAGTCCTTTTGGGTTTTTGTGGAGGCTTCATTGTGTATCAATATGTATCATTATGTATCATTTATATGTAACTTTGATACCAAGTTTTAAGGACGTATTTTAGCTCCAATCAATAATTGATTAAACCATTGGCCATTCACTGGCGATCAATTTGACCTTTAGCCCCTCTCCCCTTGGGGGGAGCAGAAAGTCCCAACCCTCTAATTATGCGTGGCCAGCCCCACCCTTGCTAATAGCCAACATTAGCATACAAAGACTTTGGGGATGGAGAAAAAAATGGCAGAGTAAAGGTAACCCCCTGGATTCCTGCTCCCAGAGAAGGAGACACAGATCTTGGTCTCCCACACGCGAGTGGATCTCCCCCTACAAGGACATCCAGAATCCGCAGAGGTTCAACGTGGGACTCTCAAAACAGGAAAAAACAAGGTGATGGGGAGATAAGAGCGCGTTCTCTGGAGAGTGCAAAACAAACAATAGGGCGCGTGGGAGGGCGCCGACCCGCCGTGCCAGGGGGTGAAGTGGGATCAGACCCACAGGAGAACTCCTTGCTTCCTCATCGATCTCCACACCACCCAGCCAGGGACCTGTCTGAAGTTGGTGCGAAATCGTGGCAGGAGAAGAGGGTGCTGTGGAGTGCCGTCAGTAGTGGAAATTCCCTGAGCCCCGCGCTAGGACGGCTCCAAGACGGGAGGAAACTGAACTGAGCTGATAGGGGAGGCAGTTAGATGTCCTGCCTCTGGTCACGAGTGGAGCCAGCCCCGCAGACCTGTTCACTA